TGATTGTGATGCTGTATTTCTGAGTGTTTTATGTGCTGCAGAAAAGGAACCTGCTGTAAAACAGCAATTATGCTGAGTCAGGCTTGATTTTTAGTAATCTTTTCCTGTTAAATCAATAAATCAAATCAAATCAAATCAATACTAATTCAAAAAACCTCTCCTTCTGTTGCAGCCATGTTTACTCTCACCGAGGTTGCATCCTTGAACGATATCCAGCCGACGTACCGCATCCTGAAGCCATGGTGGGACGTCTTGATGGACTACCTGGGCCTGGTCATGCTCATGTTGGCCATATTTGCAATGACCATGCAGATCACCAAGGACCAGGTCGCTTGCCTGCCGTGTATGGACAACCCGGAAGATGCTTCAGACTCTCCGGTTTGTCCTGGAGAGAAGACATTGAAGGCAGCCTCCTCTGCCTCATCAGCTGTCACCGGAGCCACACTTTCAACCACCGTCCCATCAATGACTAAAGATTTGCCTGATGAAGCAGTTCATGAGCTCCGCTCTACACAGCAGGCTGTTCTGGCAGCAGGGAAATACGTCAACCAACCCGAACCGAGAGGAGTTAAAACCAACCTGGACTTTCAGCAATATGTCTTTATCAACCAAATGTGTTACCATGTTGCCTTGCCCTGGTACTCCAAGTACTTTCCATACCTCACACTCATCCACACCATTGTTCTCATGGTCAGTAGCAACTTCTGGTTCAAATACCCCAAAACTAGTTCAAAAATAGAGCACTTTGTGTCCATTCTGGGCAGGTGCTTTGAGTCCCCTTGGACCACGAAAGCTTTATCTGAAACAGCTTGCGAGGACTCTGAGGAGAACAAACAAAGGTTTACCAGCACTACTTCAACCCAAAAACAAGTGTCGTTAGAGGGGAAGGAGGAAGGCACGGATGCTGACCCAGCCACACCCATGCTTGGAGTCAAGTTCTCTGCAGACAAGCCCATTTCAGACGTCCCGAGCAGTATGACGATCCTGGATAAGAAGGACGGGGAGCAGGCCAAAGCTCTGTTCGAGAAGGTGAGGAAGTTCCGAGCCCACGTTGAGGACAGCGATTTCATCTACAAGCTCTATGTAGCCCAGACTTCTGTCAAGACTTTCAAGTTTGTTTTAATATTATCCTACACTATCACCTTTCTGCTTGAAATCAAATTTGGGCACATCTGTAAACCTGAAATAACTATCCTGACAGGCTATGAGAAGTTCTACTGTACGCACAACATGGCTTTTATTCTGAAGAAGCTGCTCATCACCTACGTGGCTTTGATTCTGATCTATGGGATGACTTGTTTGTACTCTCTGTTCTGGGTGTTTCGTAGACCCCTAAAAGAGTATTCTTTTGAGAAGGTCAGGGAAGAGAGCAGCTTCAGTGACATTCCCGATGTTAAAAATGATTTTGCCTTCCTTTTACACATGGTTGACCAGTACGATCAGCTTTACTCCAAGCGCTTTGGTGTCTTCTTGTCTGAAGTCAGCGAGAATAAGCTGAGAGAGATCAGCCTCAACCACGAGTGGACCTTTGAGAAATTACGGCAGCACGTCACCCGAAATGCWCAAGACCAGCAGGAGCTGCACCTCTTCATGCTGTCCGGCCTCCCGAACGCCGTGTTTGACCTCACAGACTTGGAGGTGCTGAAGCTGGAGCTGATTCCTGAGGTGAAGTTTACAGCCAAGGTCTCACAGATGACCAGCTTGCAAGAACTCCATCTGTGTCACTGTCCGGCCAAAGTGGTTCAGACGGGTTTCGCTTTCCTCCGGGATCATCTCCGCTGCCTTCACGTCAAGTTCACAGATGTTGCTGAGATCCCACCCTGGGTCTATCTGCTGCGCAGCCTAAGAGAGCTTAATCTGATCGGAGGTTTGAACTCAGAGAACAACAAAATGATCGGTCTGGAGTCCATGCGGGATTTGAGACATTTAAAGACCTTGTGCCTGAAAAGCAACCTAACAAAAATACCCWCCAACATCACGGATCTTTCGCCACACCTGATCCGGTTAGTGGTGCACAATGACGGCACAAAGCTGCTGGTTCTGAACAGTCTGAAGAAAATGACGAGCCTCATCGAGCTGGAGCTGCACAGCTGTGAACTGGAAAGGATTCCTCACGCTATTTTCAGCTTGACCAACTTACAGGAGCTGGACTTGAAGTCGAACAACATCCGAACCATAGAGGAGGTCATTAGCTTCCAGCACCTGAAGAGGCTGACGTGTCTGAAGCTGTGGCACAACAAAATCATCACCATCCCTTCGTCCATCGGACAGGTCAAGTCTCTGGAGACGCTCTACTTGTCTCACAACAAGCTGGAGTCTTTGCCCCCGGCTCTGTTCCTGCTGCCCAAGCTGCGGCACCTGGACTTGAGCCACAACTCCATCACGGTGCTTCCACCAGACGTGGGTCTCGTTCACAACCTCCAGCACTTAGCCATCAACTCCAACAAGCTGGAGGTTCTGCCGAAGCCTCTGTTCAGGTGCACCAAGCTGAAGGTGCTCTGCCTGGGCCACAACGCACTCACCGTTCTGCCGGAAGCTGTGGGTCAGCTGGTGCAGCTCACTCACCTGGAGCTGAAAGGAAACTGTCTGGACAGACTTCCTGCTCAGTTAGGGAACTGCCGGCAGCTGCATAAAAATGGCCTGGTTGTGGAGGACCATCTGTTTGACACGCTGCCTGTGGACGTTAAGGAGAGCATCAGCCAGGAAATCGAGAAAAGTGGCTAATAGAACAAAAGTGTCGTCAGCAAAAATAATTCATTTGTTGTGTTGTTTTGTTTTGTTCATGTTTTAATCTAGATTTAGTCTTTTGTTTTTGGTGAGGAAGCATTAATGTTGGATAAATAATATATTAAGTGGTCAGTGACTGACCGTTTTATCTGCGCTCACCCAAACATTTTTATCAATCATCCGGCCATCATTTGGTTTTTATTTCATTTTCCCCCACATTTTTAGTAATTTAAAAAAAAACTAACATGTTTTTTATTTCCTTTAAACCAAAAGATTTTGCTTCATTGACACAGTGTGATGATTGTTTGAAGTACTCAGGAATAATTGTAACCAAGGGGAACAATCATTTTTGCCTTAACTGCTGCCATTATTATAATTCTTTTTTTTACGGTGAGGGATTTCACAAGAGACCAAAAATGAAACAAATGTTTTTTCTTATTTGTGTTTTTCCTCAGATCAATTTCTAGACGTTATGGAAGCAATTGAAATGCAGCGCTCCTTTAATGATGGGCTTTAAAACATGAAACCTGTGTATAGTTTTCATTCAGAGTCCTGTTGTAACAGAGTTCATTGAGAACGATCAAATTCAGGTGGAGACTGAGCAACAGACATTCATCCTACTGTTGTAGGTTGTATATAATGGGTTTAACGTTAGGTCTGTCCTCTGTTAAATTTCTAACTGACACCAATGAGATCTGAACAAAAGAAAACCTCTTTAAAATTTTAACATGACTGAATATAAATAGTCTGATTGTCTACTTACTACTAATTCTTGCCTTTATTCTCTGTATCTGCCTGTTTTTTTTCAGACTGCATGTAATGACTTATTTTCAAAGTACACAACTTTATTGAGCAATAAAACAATAATCTATCTAGATGATTTTCTAACCATAATTAATTCTCTCATATGTGGAACCAGAACCTCTGCAACTTGGAATTTATTGTTTTATTGCTGTCGTTTTTATTGATTTTACAGAAAACCCACAAGCTTCTCAGCGTGGACGTGTTTTGAAAATGTTGGAATGCGGTCTGAAATGTAAATAAGAATAAAATACAACAGTTGGTAAATCTTGTAAACCAATGCTTTATTCACAATGAAATATAATAAACTTGGAAATATGAAATTTAACTTTTTGTTTAAACTCAGATAATTTGGAATTTGATGGCAGCAACATAATGATGGGACTGGTCCAGGTTTCTGTCCCTGAAGTATCAGCAGCCGTGACCTGAGGAGACCGGTTCTGGAGGTTCTGCTGTTTCATTCTCATCTGAGGGAGAATTCTAACTTTGTTGGATGGAAGCAGACGGTTTTATAAAAACTGTATATAAAGATGCAGTTAGATGCCTCTTCAGCAGCGTTAGCAGCAGCTAGCAGCAGCCACTGTATATATTTGTCAAAGGATGATGACATCATCCTGGTTTCTGAAGCTAACACTTCTAACCCTGCTAAAGATGATATTTAATCTAAATCAAACTGTGCTGATAAAAACAATCTGGGTGGTTCCCGTGGTCCAGCAGTTTGAGGTGCAGGTCAGACACCAGCCAGAACTGCAAGTTTGATGTCTTGTAGAGAAGCTTTAGCTCCACTGGAGCGCTAGCGATTGCTATTGTCTCAGGATGATGACATCATCACGAGCCGAGCACCAACAGCAAAGGCTGCGTTCCATTCCAAAATACATAAATCTGAACTTCAGTATCTAAGGTTGAACTTTTACATTTAGATTTAGGATTTAATATTTAAATTGATTTTTAACATTTAAATTTAACATTTAGCTAAAATTAGCTAAATGTTTGAAGAGTGAGCTAAATGTTGAAAAATGTTCCCCGATTAGTTGTAACATTAGACTTATTTGATAAAAATATATTTTAACTATAAAATAAAGACTAAAAATACTGTAGTCTGTTTAGTTTTTATAATTTTTAAACTAAAAGTTTAAAAATATATTTTAACACGGATGGGGCCATTTTATTTCCACACAAAGCATTCTGGGTAAATGATGACGTGGATAGGTCCTCGGTGCGAGGCTGCTAGCGAGCTATATCCACCCTGAAGGTTAATCTTGGACAATATCTGATGATCGACTCTTTTAAATGAAACCAGAGAGCGTTGACAGAGAGGAGAAGGTAGAARTGACTCAGCCTGGAACTGAAAATATGGATGGAGGACAACAGTTTAGCTTGTTTGTCGTGCTAGCACCGAGCTAAAACAAATAAGGCAATAAAGTGTCAGCGCTAGTGCAAAGGCTAACAGGCTAATCTGAGGTTGTTCTTCCATGAAGCAGCTCTGTTGTCCTCCATCCATATTTTCAGTTCCAGGCTGAGTCATTTCTACCTTCTCCTCTCTGTCAACGCTCTCTGGTTTCATTTAAAAGAGTCGATCATCAGATATTGTCCAAGATTAACCTTCAGGGTGAATATAGCTCGCTAGCAGCCTCGCACCAATGACCTATCCACGTCATCATTTACCCAGAATGCTTTGTGTGTAAATAAAATGGCTCCGTCCGTGTTAAAATATATTTTTTAAAATTTACAAAACTAAACATCCTACAGTATTTTTAGTCTTTATTTTACAGTTAAAATAAATGTTCATCAAATAAAGTCTAAAGTTACAACTAATCAGTTAAATTTTTCAATATTTCATTTTACACTTGGCTCCCCGTACAGCATAGGTTCTASATGGCATTCACATTTGTTTTTGCATGATAGAGCTTTAAGCAGCATTAGTGGATGTGATGTGTGGAAGTGTTTTTGAATACATGCGTTGATGTCCAGAACAGAACCAGACCTGTTTTTAAAGCAGTGGCCCCTGACGGCCTGAAGACCACAACCATACTGACTATCAGCCTTTGAGCTCAGAGATTATTCTAATCTGTTGATCAGATTATAAACTGGAGATGGAGATTCAAATCTCACCAAATTTCTGTCAAGGAACTTTATTCTGAAATTGTTCCAGTGATTTTAGGACCTCTACTCATCTTCTGAGGGATGTGAACCTCCAACTCTTTAAATCCATTCCTCTTACTAACTGGATGATTCCCTGCATTATGAACACATCTGTTCTTTAATTTATTTGTATCTTTTACAGCTGGATTTTCAGTCTCATCTTTTTGAAAACGTGTTGATGCCGCCAAATTAAAAATTAACCTTTTTTTACCCTAACAGTTGTGTTCTTTAGTGAACAAATTATGAGATTTGCATTGTTTTTATTTACATTTTATACAATGTTGCAACTTTTTCAGAATTAAGGTTGTTAATTTTCCTCATTCTCTACAGGAAACGCATTAGAAAATGTCATACTTTATGCTTTAGATAAACTTTCTAATTAACTGAACAGATTTACTTAAAGTTTTCATGAAATAAGAACTTTTACAACACATCAGTGACAGTAAACCTCATTTTTCTTTTTCAATTTGAACTTGATAGATACAGAACTAATTATTTTACTTTTTTATTCCCAGTAAATTTAATTRTGGAAATAAAAATGTTGGAACAATCTTGTTTTTGTCTTAGCTGTTACATTATTACCCTTTGTTTGACCAGACAGTCAGCTCYTCTTAGTCCTGTGAGCCTTTTTGTTTCCTGTCTACGCTGCAGACGTTACAGAAAAGCCTCTTTGTTAGTTTTGCTTAGAGACATTGATGGAAAATGTTCAGAGCAGTTTCCAAGAAATACGATGACCTCCTGTTATGTTGGTTCTACTTTAAAAGTTTCACAAGTTCAACTCATTGACATCTGCTTGYCGGTCTCCATGTTCTTCTGAAATAATGATTTCCTGACACATTTCAGCACGGACAGCTCCCAGCTCTTTCTACAGTGTCTGGATTGAGATTTATGAGGATGGTCTGTGAGTCTGAGTCCAGTTCAAAAACACAAAACATCAATGTCTTTGTGTCGGTGTTGACCTCAGCTTTTCWCAGAATTAACTTTAAATCTGTCCTTCAGAAAGTGTACTCTGGATTTAAGGATATCAGTGCCTGTTGCTTCATTAGAATTTATCTGTTTCCCTAGATTATCCTGTCTGCCTGTAATCTGTTTGTCTCCTCGGATGATTTGTTCTAATAAAATAATATAAAATAATAATAAAAATAAAATAATATAATTTTGTCCTGTGATGACTGCAGAGGGTTGTGAAGCTGAGTTACAAAGAAGGACCCAGATACAATGATTCTTGTGATCAGGGCGACCATGTGCTGACAGTTTATTTGTGTCAGTTGTCAAGAATCACGTGTTAAAAAAACAAAATAAAACAGTATAGTAAGTAGATTAGTGAAGGAGTTCAACTTAATATTTGATATTCTTATTTATGTATTGTCTTCAGAGGCTGAAAAATATTTAGGCTCAGCAAATTTCAAACTCATTCAGAGGGTCTTTCTGTGAGGATCTTAAAATATTCTCCCTGTTTCCTCCCACGGACCAAAACCATCCAAAACTTACAACACAAACAAATATATATGCATCTCTAATAAGTTTAAAGTGCAGTACAAATTAAATATTTGGGCCACGAGTCATTTTTAGTCCAGTACCTGATCGTTTCAGACAATAAATAAAAAAATAATATAAAAGCAAAAACAAATGTCTGAAGAAATGAACATTTGKTCTGGTTGGTCCCAGATTTTTACTGGTAAAGCCAAAAGGAAAAAAAACTAGAAGAGGATCCTGTCAGGACTATTTTTTAGTCCTGACAGAGTATTTTACTTTAAGAACAGAACCTCTCAGCAGGAAGGTCCCCGGATTGAATCCCAGACCTTTCTGRGTAGAGTTTGCATGTTCTCTCTGCACATGCACGAGTTTTCTCCAGGTACTCCGGTTTCCTCCCACACACAAATAAATAAAAAAGTTAGGTTAATTGGTAACTCTAAGTTGTCCCTAGGTGTGAGTGAGAGAGTGAATGATTGTGTGTCCCTGTGATGGACTTGAGACCTGTCCAAAGTGGACCCTGTCCCTCACACTAGGATTGCACCAGTGACCCCATGACCCTGAAAAAATAAGTGGATTAAGATAATGGATGTTCACTGTTACATGAACTGGGGTTCATATTGTTTTTGTACTTTTTATATACTGTTATTTGATTTATTTTAATTTTTTCTGAGATTTTTGGTCAGCCATAGCACAGAAACTGCACAGCTGGTGTTTTTTCTCAGGCCAGCTGGATTGGTTTACCTGAAGTCAGGTTCTGTTTCACAGTAAAAATATTTGGAGCACAAAGAAGGTAATAATGAAACAGCCACACACTGTTCACAGACTGAAGTCTGGTGTTCAGCAACAATGGTTCTGCAGAGACAGAAGAACAGACCACTTTCAGTCTGACTTTTACATCCTGCAAAGAATMCAAGGTTCACAGAGATCTCAGAAAATATTTTTAAAAAACATTATTTATGCAACAGATCACAGTGGAGACAGTCCTCAGTAAGTCAAGGAAATATAAGGATAAAAACAGGATGTTCTAACAGAGGGAGGCTGCAGAGAGACCTACAGCAGCACTGAAGGAGCTACAGGAAGTCCTGACCACTTGTGTTCTTCATGACTTTAGCCTCCTGTGGTCTCCAGGTCCACAATATTTGGTAGGAAGGTGTTCTTATTGCAAAGTAAAACTTCCAGGTACCAACAAATATTGTTAGAAAAGTACATTATTCAACTTTTTTGCTGTTTTTATGTTATATTCCTGGTTTTGTGAATTTATAATGATTTATTTTTGTCCACAAAAGTGCACAGAAATAAGCAAATAAAATATTTTATTGAAATAATTAGAAGAAATGGTGGCTTTAAACGTTAAAAAAAAACTTAATTGTAGTAAAATGGCTACTTCAAGCAAAAGATCTGACTTTTTTTTAGGGAAAAGGACAGAAAGTCTGATGTGGATAATTTATGTCCTTTATAAAGACAAACTGGACTGTTGCAGAACTCCAGTTATCTGTTCTGGTTCATYACCAGTGGTGGGCMGCACTAATCTAAAATTAGTTCCACTAGCCCTAAARCACTAACTTAGGTCCCCTAATTCTAAAGCACTAATGYACTGAAAAAWTTAKCAAAAGCTAATTCTAAAGCAGTAAAATAACCCAGTCAACCCATGAACATTCATCAACAGACAACATGAGTCACATRTTACCATGTTGCTCTCTTAAGACTTATCATTGATATTCCACAGCTGGATTAGGTTCACATATTGTTATAGTAGATAAGTGACACACAYATGAACAAAATGACCCTTTTCACCCTCAGCTGTTAACATTAACGTTGATCAATAACATTTATAGACCTCAGTTASTGCTTCCAAATTTAGCCTATAAATTTAGCAAGTGCTAATCCACTAATAAATTTTAGATTTAGCAAWAGCCCTAAAGCACTAATCAGGAAATTAGTCCCCTATTAGTGCTTTAGTATTTTATGAGAACTGTGCCCACCACTGTTCATCACATTATTATCTGTAAAACAAAACCTGATGATTCCTAACTCTTATTTTGACAAATATTTTGCTTTTTCACAAAAACAGAATTTCTTAAATTCATTTGGTTTTGGTGGCACCCAGGATTTTCAGTCATTATAACTYCTGTAGACAAGGCTTTAATTAAAGGTGCTTCAACTATTAGTTTTAAGGTGTKCATCTTATTGCATCTTTTTTATTTGTCTATATTTTCCCCCACACAMATATTTAATCTCCACAGGATGATTGTCACAAATGTTTAGAAATGATTTATTAATAATTTGTTATTAATAATTTATTGTTGCCCACGCTCCACACCGTCTCTGTGTTTGGACAGTCAGCTCTTTGCTGCCACCTGTCGGCCACACAGTGAAACTGCAGCTGGATTAAGCTGTCGTCAGCTCTTTGCTGCCACCTGTCGGCCACACAGTGAAACTGCAGCTGGATTAAGCTCTTCGTTTGACAAGTAGCTTCAGTTTTAACACTTGAAACTTTGCTTTTCGCAGGAAAAATGAACCGTCGTAACAAGTTTTCAGTGAACCCGTCAGTCGTGCCCAAAGCACCAGTTTCAGGACCCAAACAGGTGCTAAGTTCAAGGTAAAAGATTCTGGTTTAGTTGAAAATAGCGGATACCATTTGATTTATTCACCCACCATTCTAATCTGGGCCGTGTCCGCTTCTAACATTTTATTATCTTTGTTTCTGAGTATTCAGGCTACAAACCTCGCGTAGTACTTAACAGTAAAACTTACGCAAAGTTTTGTTATTTTATAATCATTTTATATTCTGTTTTCGTACGGGACTAAAGCTAGTAGCATAGCTAGCTTAGCTTAGCTTAGCTTAGCTTGCCTGAAGTGTGGAAATGATGGCCAGCTCGTTCAGAATAATGTTTATTACTGTTTTGTTTGTGTTGTTTCAGAGTCCCTCAGGCCTTCGTGGAGGCCATGAAACGGATCTCAGCCTCTGACACGAACCCTAACAGCCAAACAGAGGCGACGACAGGTCTGTGGCCGTTCAAACACACCTTCATCACAGCCTCACCTGGCTGCAGCCTCACCTGCTTTATGTTCACATTAACACTGACACACAGCTCAGCTGCCACTAAACACTTTCATGGTTTGCACTAATTTAGATCACTCACAAAACTTACATTAGATGTCAACATAAGATATGATATATGCTAATGCTCAGTGTCACTATTTAATGATGTATTGTGATGTAAATATAATCATGTTTACTTTGGTTCAGTCTAAACAGTGTTTATATCTACCTGTGTTTCAGCTCATGTTGGTTTAATCATCACAGCGTAAAATACGAATAAAACTAATTTACAAATGTGTTTGTATACAGAGGTCCAAACTTGAACACCAGAAGTAGTTCTGAACCTGTTTGTAATTCAATTCAATTCAGTTTATTTATACAGCTCCAAGTTACAACATACGTTGTCTCAGGACACTGTACATAAAAAGAACAATGTAAAGAATTTAGCAGCAGATTGTGTTGAATCACTTCATCACAGTCTCCCATCCTGAGCAAACGGTGGAGAGGAAAAACTCCCTGCTAATCAGGAAGAAACCTCCAGCAGAACCAGGCTCAGGACAGGAGACCATCTGCCTCGACCGGCTGGTTGGAGGACAGGAAAGAGACACAAACACCAGCAGCAGCAGGGAAATGTCTAAACATGCAGGGAAGGAGTCTTTGAGGACCAAGGTTGAGAATCACTGCTTTAATACATTATCTGATTTATTATTTACAAATAAAGAATCAATGGCTTCCAGAGTAGGATTGGGCATAATCGTATCGTGTGCAATTAATCGTCAGAAAAACATTAATCGATGATTTTTTGGCAGTTGACAATTAATACGATTAATGCCACCTGGCAGACTAACCGCTTGGTGCTCCTCTCTGATTCAAATATAATCAACATTAAAGAAATTTGTGTAATTTATTTATCCATCAACACAATTTAAAGTTTGATGTACAGCCTGAAGTCTGTAATTTTGACACAAATTGGAACAGATTTCTACGAAGAGCCAATTTTCTCCCTATAAATTGGTCATGTGACTAGGATTTAAGGGCGCCCAGGGACTCTGGGGGATTAATCGTCAAATTAATCGTTACTGGCTAAATACTACAATTAATCGTGATTAATTTTTTTTGCCAATATTGCCCAACCCTATTCCAGAGGCAACACTAAAAAACATAAAACTGAGTCAATATTATATTTATAAAATGTCTCATGAAGCCCAGAGAAGCTGTTGAGGTGTTGGTCAACATTTAAAGCAGTGATTTTTAGATGTTTCCCTGATTTGACACACCTGGTTTAAATTAAAGAGTGATTAATCTTCTGAGGACCTGCTGAAGAGCAGGGAAACAAGTAAAACATGAATGATAGGGGTACTTGAGGACCAGGATTGGGAACCACTCTAACCAWTTTATGTTGTTAGTTGCATTTAAAATCTAATTCCAGTTCAAACAGAATAGCCTATTGTCAACATAATTATGGAGTGTGATTTATTTTCAACTCAGTATCTTCAAWCTAAGTCTGGACCACTCCTGAATTTTGTTCGTATCTGAAAAAAATCTTAGAATACGAAAACATTGGTGAATGYCACAAATTCTCCTAAATCACTCGTACGCACAACTGAAGAACAAATCTGTGCGTACGAACGGTTCTTGCATGAGGCCCATTGTCCTGTTGGACCCAGTTTGGTGTAATCTTCAGCTGGACTCAGGTTTGACTCTAGAATCCTTTGGTCTACAGAGGTCATGGTTCATTCAGTGACTGTGTGGAGCCCCAACCATCAACCCTCCACCACTGTGCTGACAGCTGGGAGGAGCTGTTGCTGCTGATATTTTGTATTTGTTTTTTCTGAACTTGTTGCTGTGCATTCTGGGTAGAAAATGTCCTGATGCTTCTCAGTAATCCAGGTAAAAAAATCAAAAAGAAAATCATCCTCTGGATGTTTTTTTTTAATGAAACGTTTCGTCTCTAGTCTGATGAGTTTCAGGTGAACTCAGCCTTATAAGCTCCGCCTCCACACAGGTGGACAAACAGGTTGGTCACATGCAAAAGAAGAACCCGTCCAGAGGACCCACTTATTTTTTGATTTTGGGTAGACATCTCTACCTTTGTTGTAGTCTTTCTGCTGCATCTCTTCCAAACGAACCATGACTATTATGGAAATAATACTTTTAGGCTTAAGCCTGTAATTCATGACATACTGTAATGACCTAGGTTTTCATGACGTGCTGTTCATCAGTGATTATAGCCAGAACAAGATCTGCTAACAACAATCATTCTTAGATATCACTTGTGTTTATCTTTGTGTTTTCCCTTGACCCAGCATTTCCTTAGTATGAAGTCTTGCTTTATTAAGATGACATAATAGTGTTTGTTAAACAATATGAGGCCTCAGCTGCCTCAGAGAAGGAGAAGCAGGAGCAGAGAGCTCTGACCTTTAACCTGCTAACTGATGCCTGATGAGTCGGAGGTGGGGCTGTTCCTCTGAGCATTGCCTGGTCGAACCTTGAGGWGGATTTGCTGGGATGTCCACTGCTGTAAGATTGACATCTGTCTTTCACTTGTTACCCCACTGTAGAATGGTGGACTCCACATAGTTTCAGCTTTAACTCTTCCCAGATTGACGAGCAGCAACAGTAGTTTCTCTGATTGCTGATGTCTTTCCTTCTTGTCGTTGTGTTGACACACCTGTATTTTCCTGAACTGCAAAACGAATAAACTCCTGGTTTTTAACCTTTTTGACCTCGGGGCCCAATTTGTTGAACATAAAGTGACACGAGGCCCCGTCAGACATTACCAATGTAC